AAATTGAACATGCTTAATGCAATTTCTTGTCACATTTGCATTGAATCCTACTGGCACAAATTATTAAACATGAAGTAGAAAAACAAGAAAGCAAAGTTCTTTCTTACATGCAGTACAAGGTACACGGCAAAACATACTATGGTTGTCAATACTTTTCTTCTTTTTTTCTCTTTTAATTTCAAGTTTCATGAACAGCTGAATTTAACTTTGGCATGTAAAATTAATTGTCTAACACATGGCCGAGTATATGCATAATAATCGCATAAATCCAAGAAGAATTTTTTTTTTTTTTTGAAGTTAAAGAAGATACAAACTCATTATCCACATGCCCCTAGTGCAACTTGAACCCTCAACCTCCCCAACAGCAGAGGAGAGGTTATACCATTGGACTATAACTAACATATATATTTACAATGGGATGCAATATTCAATAGTAGGGCATCAGAATCTTTTCTGTATAGCTACAAGAGGAGCTTTAAAGGGTTTGTAGCAACACTGACAGAGGAAAAGAAGGAGAAAATTGCAAGTGGGTGATTAATTTATAATTTCATTTAATTACTTAATCTATCCAATGATTTGTTTCTCGTCCTCCCCAACCTCTCTTAACTCTGCTTTAATTTTTTTTTGCAGGCAAGGAAGGAGTAGTGTCTGTGTTTCCTAATGAAAACATGGAACTCCACACAACAAAGTCATGGCACTTCATGGGCTTCCCTCAAAGAGTTTCAAGAATGGTCGACGTTGAAAGTGATATCATTGTCGGAGTGTTTGACAGTGGGATTTGGCCTGAATCTCAGAGTTTCAACGACACAGGATTTGGTCCGCCTCCAAGCAAATAGAAGGGCTCTTGCCAATCCTCAACAAATTTCACTTGCAACAAGTACTACTATACCCATAAATAAATTACATGAATGCATATATTAATTGCTTGTGCTAGCTGCCACTAAAATTTTGACTACATTGAGTAAACTTATAAGAGCTAAATACTACAATGCCAGAGGATCAATACTTGAAAAAGAAGTTGAATCACCAAGAGATACAAATGGTCATGGGACGCACTGTGCATCTACCGCAGCAGGGCGCTTAGTGAGTGGCGCAAGCTTATTAGGCTTGGGCAAGGGTACAACGCGCTCGGGGAGGGGTTCCCTCGGCTCGTATTGCTGCATACAAGATATGTTGGGCTACAACTGGTTGTTCAGGCGCCGATACCCTTGCAGCATTTGATGATGCAATTGCAGTGTTGGAAGATTAATCTAGTTTTGTTTAGATTCATTTAAGAAGACCAAGTAATACTTGGAAAGATGCAAAGAATCTCATAATAATTACTAGTACATGAAACATTTTGGTATATATGAAAAGTGTGGTTCATTGCATATATTAAATTCATGTATTAGAAGTATGCATTGAGTAGTGTAATAGATGAGTCATGTAAGTATATTTTAACACAAAAATAATTGAGTAATATAAGATAAAGAATTCATAGAAATGAGTGATTCTGAATTGTGTGTGTACTAATTCAGTTGAATATACGTGAGTGTATCCCATTTGTGCTCATTTGCCCACCAACTCCAACATTTTTTACTCCAGAACTATATAAATTTTAGCTCTGCAATTTTAATGGAAACCTCATCGGAAGTGGCTGAAAAATCTCGATCTGGATGATGGCGAGTCAGTGACTGGATTATTACAGGAGATTAGATAGAGGGTGTGAAAGGAAGAGAGTTGTCCGTACATAAGGGAGATGAATGTGGATGATGGATCTCTGACTATAATCAAGAGAACATTGAACTCATTTCTTATAAAGGGAGTTGTCAGTGGATTAAGTGTGTTGTTTGGATTGGCTGAGTGGAGCTTGGTTTGGAAATACATACATATGTGTGTGTGTATATAAGTATGGGTTTTGGATAGGTGGGTGTAGTTTTAGAGAGAGAGAGAGAGAGAATGAAGACGAAGAAGATAGATATTTTATAATTTTAAAATAGGGGTATTTTTGTAATTTTAAAATATGAATTATTAATTTTTAATTTAATATTACATCATGAGCCAATTTTGTCAATTCACAACTTAACTAGGGATCTGTTACGGGTATGAGGGCGACTTGATGATTTTTTTTAGTACATGGGTATTTAATTTTATTGAGTATTTTTGCACCAATTTGGTGGTAAAGAGGGATGTTGTGATTTTATACCAAACAATTATGGACAGAGTAGCTAGCCAACAGTTTCCTCTCGGCAGAGAAAATTTAACATGCATGTCAAGAAAGATACAAAAATGTGGCCCTATATATAAGAGTGGAATGATGGCTTTTGAAAACTAGCGAGTTGATTGGTCTAAATTGGGGATGCGAATCAGTTTTAGAATATTTTGAAACTAAATTGGTTCTATTAATTGTATAAAAATTGATATCGAATCAAATTATGAAACTAATAGACGTGTATCAATTCAATATATATAAATATATATTACATATAATATAATAATATATTATATAATTATGTATTATAATGTATATTTGATTGGTTAAATGACTAATCTTATTATTTTTTTTACTTTTGTTAATTAATATATATTTATATAGCAATTCAGTTCGATTTAGTCTTGGAGACCATTAAAACCGAACTATTTATAAGCCATTTCATATTTTTTAACTTGAAAAAACCTAATCAAACTGGTCAGTCCAGTTTTGTAACCGATTTAACAATTTTTTTGTGCACTCCCAGACAATATAATTGATTAAGGGTTGGTTGGCTTGGCTCCGTATTAGATAATTGATGTTGAAATTTATAATTGTGTTCATATTATATAATACAATTCAACAACGAAAAAGAACAAGGATCTGTGGTAACGTATCCAAGTTGTATGTATAATATCATCTTATACTCTGCTAGAAGCACGTGATACAAGGGATAATGAGCTTGCTAGGTTTCATGGCTGCACTACACCCCCACGTGATAATGAGATTGCCTGCTGAGAGGAAAGTTGGTAGACCCAAAACAATTTAAACACACTGAGGGAAGGGTTCCCCTGCTTACACTACGCTAGTTTGCAATAATTTACTGTTAAGGCATTGTTTATGAGAAATAAGGAGACATTTATTTAAGTTTGTGTAACAAAATTTAATGAGTACGTATAACAAAAACAAGTAATTGTTAGAAGAGATGATTCTGAAATGATGGATAATTTTAATTCAATCTACAGCATATTTATTTAATTATTACCTATAATTAAAAGAAATAACCTTATGGTTATATTCGTCTACGTGGAATTGAAATTAAAATTGGAATTGATGGAATTGGAGCCAAATTTTTTTCTAATTCCACCAATTTCAATTCCATGCAGCTGAACACAACTCTTTATGAATTCATTGACATTTCAATTTCATGTGTTATGAACCGGAGAGTTTAACTTTGGCATGTAAAGCAAGTGTTGGATTATTCAAAGCGGGAAGCTTGTACGAGGGCAACTAGCTAGTGTAGTGCTAGCGGTGGAACACGCCCGTGATTTGGAAATGTCATAATTCAAAAATGAGAAGAAAAAAAAATAATAATAATCACAATAAAAATGATTTTTCAATTTTATTTCCATAGTGATTCAAAATGAGTTTCATTTTTTTACTGAAGTTTCTTGAAACTTGTTATCATATGTTGGAACAAATTGAAAGGATCTCCTTTTTACGTCCCATGTACAGTAATATTGAAACCTCTACAGTGGAAGGTGTTTGAAGCTGAAACATGGGGTTTATGTGGCCTTGTATGGACAGTGGGAAGACCAACCACGAACCTTACCAGTGGGGGCGGGAATTTTTTTTATTTGAATTATCACCTATACTTTTTGATAAAAAAAAAATTAAAAATGCTCCCTCAATTTGTAAAAATATCACAATGCACATTCTTGCCCTTACTGATTTTTTGGATATAGAAGATAATTATCTCTTTTTCACTTTCTACCGATTGCCGTATTCATGATTCTCTCTCACATACTTTGATATTTCCACTTAATTTTTAAAAATACTAACTATATATATATTCTTACGTTTTAGATCCAAAAGAAAGTAAAATAAATGGACTTTCTTATTTCTTCACGTTCTACATTTACGGTAATTTAGAAATCATGGACACGGTTGAAAAATCAAATGATCCGAGTCAGACAAGCCAAAAAAAAATTAAATTCTTATATTTATTATTTTTTAAAAAAAATTTATCTTTAATTTTTTTATTCTTCAACAGTCCCCTCAAAAAAATTCCTGCGTCATTGGGGAAGACAAGCAATATATTTTCAGTCATTTGCTACACTGGCGTTAGTTGACTAATAGAAGAACTTATCTCTGAGTGATCAATCTCGTCCATTGATAAGATGAATCTGTGTGCTTGTGACACCTTAGACACTTGCTCTCTTAGCCTTTTGGTGCCCCATCTATTGCAGTGGTATCAAAAACCAACTTCAGTATGAATAAGAGTGTTACGGGTTCGGAAAGAAGAGAAGTTGATATCCCATATATATTGAATATAGATGAGAAAGGTTTTAAACTTTACAGTTTACACTATCCGGACAATCTAACAATGTGATTAGATATTTGTAACTCTGTTTGTTTAAAATTTATTATCATGAATTATTAGAGCTTCTAACGAAGCTCCGACAAATGAGTCCCATGTGAACACCTGCGAGTTATTCGTATTCAACTGACGGCAAGGTGTTTTTTAATGGTTCAGGATGTGGTTGGTGTGTGAAATGAAACACGTTGCCCAATATATATGTAAGAGTGTCCATGTGAACAACAGCTAGTTATTCATATTCAATTGACGTCAAGGCCTTTTTTTATATTGATTGTGGATGTGGCTCGAAATAGATAAGACTTGCTCATTCATTGTTTAAACGACAAATGATACATGTGATTTTACTATTTTACCCTTACTTTAGCAACCTCTTGTTATAAAAGCCGGTTTGTTGTATGGAAAAATATATATCAGCAATAGAGCTGACCAAGCTTTGCAGAGACCTCTCTAATGGCTAGTCAAATGTATGCTCCTTCATGGCTTATCCTGATCAGCCTCACTTGTGCTCTGCTTATTAGCTGCATCGGAGCATCTGACGGAGATCAAGAGGCATGTGTATATATATATATTATGATTCATATTGCTTTTATGTTTTTAGAGCCTGATAATTATGCTATGGACAAGGCTTGTTAATTAGTCGGATCATCAACAAACTTCATAGAGAAATATTACTCTTTATAAGACCACGATGTTGGTAGTGAGATCCCTTGTATATATCAACTTATTGGTTTTATGGTATATCTTAGTTTCGAGGATGATACCAAAGATATGTATTTGAGCCCACATTGCACTAACACACACACATATAATATATATAGAGAGTAATTATTTGATATTGGTTTAGAAACATCAGTGGTTATAAAATTAGTAATAACTGATCATTTTGTGGTTGCAGGAGTACATTGTATACATGGGTGACCGCCCCAAGGGTCATCTCTCTGCGTCATTCCTTCATACGAGAATGCTACAAGAAGTTGTTGGCAGGTCATTACATTTACTTGTTTATATATATATGTGTGTGTGTGTTTATAGCATATACCATTTATTAACATGTCAAAAGGGAGGTCAGGGCTCGAGCCTCAGTAGAAGCAAGCTTCCTAAAACAATATCAAAAGGCATACAACTGTTGTTAAACATGACAGTAATAACATAAAAAAGAATGTTGTGGTTATATATATATATATATATATATATATATATATATATATATTCTTTTTCGTGTCCGTTTTTGTATATAAAATCGTCTTTAATATCATTATTTCCCTCTTCAATAAAACAAGAAACTCTGGTGGTCCCCTTAAATGTTACAAATTTCCTTTGGCATTGAGAGTACGGATACGTATTTCACCTTTTGAATGAACAAAAGTTTCCAAGATTATGTCAGAAAGAAAGATGGTGTACAAAAGTTCTCTCTTTGATAAGTAAGAAAATGTGTACAAGATAAAAAAAAACAATCTAAATGTATTGAGAGGGAGGGGTTCCCTGTTTACAAGAACCTCTAGATAACTACTCTATGCTATTATGCAATATTTTACTATGAAGCCATTGCTTATGAGTTTTGAGGAGAGACATTTATTTAAAATTGTGTAACAAATGTTAACATTTAGGATTAATTGATATTTTATTTCCAAGGTTTCATGAACTGGTGAATTTAACTTTGACATGTAAAATTGTTTAACACAAGCTGAGTATCAAAACGGAAAGTTAAGGACTTGTTTAATTTGTCATTCTGAAAACAGTTCTCAAAAATTTAGAGAACAGAAAATTATTTTCAGATAAAATAACATATTTTTTAATTAATTTTTTTTTTTTTTAAAGACAGTTCTCAAAAAGTACTGTCAACCAAACACACTTTTATCCTTAGTTTTCAATCTTCATAAAACAAAAAACTGTTCTCTGAAAAATTGAACCAAACAGGCACTTCTTATATTAAATTCAAGAAGAAAACTTAAGATGTTAAAAAGTCTGATAATATGCCTTCTATAAATTAAAAGAAAACAAATGGTATTGGCACTTCTTAATTATTTCCCAATGTGATCTCCCACAAGAAATTAATGCACATATAATCCAAGAAATTTATATTAACTAACTTATTTAATGGATGCATTCAACAGTAGGGCATCGGAATCCTTACTCTATAGCTACAAGAGGAGCTTTAACGGTTTTGTAGCAAAGCTAACAAAGGAAGAGAAGGAGAAAATAGCCAGTGAGTGATTTATAATTTCCATTTAACTACTTAATCTATCCCATGATTTGTTTGCCCCCATTCTCTTTGTTTTTTTTTTCGTTTTTTCTTTCCATTCTCTTAACTCTGCTTTAACTTTAAAATTTTTAAAAATAAAAATAATGATACTCAGGCATGAAAGGAGTAGTGTCTGTGTTCCCTAATGACAAGATGGAACTCCACACAACAAAGTCATGGAACTTCATGGGCCTCCGCAAAGGAGTTACAAGAAGGGTCGACGTTGAGAGCAACATCATTATCGGAGTGTTTGACACTGGGATTTGGCCTGAATCTGAGAGTTTTGATGACACCGGATTTGGTCCGCCTCCAAGCAAATGGAAGGGATCTTGCCAATCCTCGGCAAATTTCACTTGCAACAAGTACATACCAATTACATACACATAAACTACATATATTTATAGATATATTAGTTGCTTGCGCTGCCACTAAAATTTTGAATGCTTTGCAGTAAACTTATAGGAGCTAAATACTACTTTAGTTCCGGAGGATCATTACCTGAAAAAGAGGTTCTTTCACCAAGAGATGTAGATGGTCATGGGACACACACTGCATCTACAGCAGCCGGGAGCTTAGTGAAGGGCGCAAGCTTATTAGGGTTGGGCAAGGGTACAGCAAGGGGAGGGGTTCCCTCGGCTCGGATTGCTGTGTACAAGATATGTTGGTCTGATTATGGTTGTGCACACGCGGATATCCTTGCAGCATTTGATGATGCAATTGCTGATGGAGTTGACATAATATCACTTTCGGTTGGGGGTTCTGCGGCGGATTACTTTCAAGATTCCATTCCAATTGGAGCTTTCTATGCTATGAAGAATGGAATACTAGTATCCAATTCTGCTGGTAATTCAGGTCCTAGACCTGGTAGCGTCGCAAGTAATGCACCATGGTTCCTATCTGTGGCTGCTAGTACCATAGACAGAAAGTATACGACAATAGTGAAGTTGGGCAACAATATGTCTTATGAGGTGAGCAAGCATGTCCTCTTAATTCTCTAGCATATCTACATATATAATTATATATACAGTTCTAATTAAACTCTTTTTACATGCAGGGAATCTCTATAAACACTTTTAAGCTTGACCATCAGTACCCTCTAGTTTATGCTGGGGACGTACCCAATACTCAAGCAGATTATGACGGAACTCAATCCAGGTAAGGAAATATATATCAGAAAATAAAAGATTTATTAGTGATGATATAACGGAATTTGAAATTACCCCACAAAAAAATAAAAAGATAAAACGGATTCGAGTTTAATCATTTAGTTATATCATAGAATATTGAGGATTGGAAAATGCATAAAAAATAATGTTATCGTGAAATGCAGGTACTGCATGTTCGATAACTCATTGGACCCAACTTTAGTGAATGGCACAATCGTCCTATGTGATTCGATGACTAGCGGAGAAGTACAACTCGGCGCGGGTGCAAAAGGTACCATAATGAACAATGACGGCTTCCAAAGTTTTGGCAGAACTTTTCCTTTGCCTGCCTCCTACTTGCAGGAGAACGATGGTGTTAGTGTTCGCGAGTACATAAATTCAACTCGGTATATAGATTAATTTCAAGACAATAAATTTTTACACATTATTGATCACAGCACATGCATTCAACAATTTGGATAAAACTAACCCTATCTACAGTAACCCAACTGCATCAATAATGAAGAGTAAGAGGACCAAAGATAAATTGGCTCCATATGTGATTACATTTTCATCAAGAGGACCGAACCCAATTACAAGAGACATTCTCAAGGTATCTTATACAAACATACAAATATATATCTATATATATATATATATATATATATATAGTTTTTGGTTTTAAATTGCTACACTTTGTTTAATTTTGTGCAGCCTGACCTAACTGCTCCTGGAGTGGAAATTCTTGCTGCATGGACACAGGCTAAAACTGTGACCGGAAGGGAGGGAGACAAAAGAGTGGTTCCATACAATATAATCTCCGGCACATCCATGTCTTGCCCACATGCTACCGGAGTAGCTGCTTACGTGAAATCTTTTAACCCTGGATGGTCTCCTGCTGCTATTAAGTCTGCTCTTATGACAACTGGTAATTAATTAAATAATTTGTAATTTCTTCTAGGGGATGTTAATTAGCAAGAAATTCCAAACAAAACAAACAATAAATCCATTATTTGTACCTAACATGCCTCTGATTCTTTTGTTCTTTGCAGCTACCCCAATGAGCAGTGTTACTAACCCTGATGCTGAGTTTGCATATGGGGCAGGTCATATTGATCCTGTAAAAGCTACAAAACCTGGTTTAGTATATGATGCCGGAGAGCTTGACTATGTGAAATTTTTGTGTGGTCAAGGTTATAGCGACGAGTTATTGAAATATGTCACTAATAGCAGTTGCTCTCAAGACAACATTGGGACCGTTTGGGATCTCAATTATCCTTCCTTTTCTTTATCTTTTCAGTCTGAAAATCCCATCACCCGTGTCTTTCATAGGACCGTCACAAATGTTGGTTCACCGGTGTCCACTTACAAGGCAATTGTGACAGTCCCTGAAGGACTTGCAATCTTAGTTGAGCCAAATGTCCTAGCATTCAGGTCACAAGGTCAGAAGCAATCATTTGTGGTTACAATCACAGCAACCATGGATATGGATAAGAATATACTTTCCGGGTCATTGGTGTGGGATGATGGGGTGTATAAAGTGAGGAGCCCCATTGTGGCACATTCTCCTATTGTGGAGCATTCTTCCTCTTGAAAATTTATATATGCTTGTACCATATATGAACTCTAATGAATAAAAGAGAAGCATGATGTGTTTTGGATCACAATGAAAAAATTGCCTACTTTATTCATAGCTAGCTAGCCACTTGCCTTTCAATTAAGTATATACATTGGTATAAAATAAGCCCGAAGTCGGAAAATAAGATTAGAATGACAACATATAATTGACCAAACTCTTTAAGGATTTGGTATGAAAAGCCACCTTTCTTGAGTCAAATTAAGATCTACCTTTTCCTTCAAACACATTATTCTCTTTCTCATCTCTTCCACCTCCCCTCTCTCCATCCCATTCTCTAATTGTATCCCAACTCTGCAAACATGGCTTATGTATCTTGCATTCACCAGCTGGTCGCCGAAGCATGGCGAACAAATCATTGGAGTTAACAATGCTCTGTAATGTTTTGAATTCCATCCATTGTGAGTCCAAAAGCCTCCAGTGAGGATCAGCCAGCACGTACTTCTTGTTTGGGAAGCCCATTTCACAATATGTCCACTAGCTTCCACTCCATCACTGCTTCTAGGAACCCATTTGGCACTGGTTTAAGCCATTCTGAGCCACGTATTAGCTAGTCCTGGGCGAACCACCCACAAGAGTGGCTACATGCTGTTGGCTAGCTCCCAAGCCATAGCCAAGAATTCAGTTTCATCCCTTGCTGCAATACTCCCAAAGCTCAAATATCTTAGTGACTCGGATGCTTGCTGTTGGGAGCAGCAGAAATTCTAATACCACTGGTTGGTCCCAAATCATTTTTTTTTTTTTTTTTTTTTTTGGCATTAGAGCACGTGTATCACAGTACAATCATCATTCAAGTCAAGAGTGCGGTTTGAAAACGAGACCTCAAAAACGTACCTCCCAAATTCTTGCCAACGCTGCAATGCCCCTGAATCCCAAATCTCTTTGGCTAACAAAAATAACCTTCAAAATATAAAATCAACTATGCACATAAAGACACCAAATATATATGTGAAAAAACTGTCGAAAAAAACCAGAGTCAGTACATTCTCAAGTTTTCTACTGACTCAAGTTTTCTGCAAACTCAAGAAATCACAATCAACTGGAGAATCCCAAAATATTAACAGTATTTACTTTTACTACAATCAACCATTCCCAAACATCCGTTGGAAAAAAACTCAATCCCCCTTGAGAATCTAAACAAAACAGAACCTGCGACACCAATCTCTCCTCTTTCCTGAATGGAAGATAAGATTGAACACCGGACTGTGACACTACACCATCTCAACCAACACGCTAATGCTACACCATCTCCATTTCAACCAACAATACTGGTGCCTAAATCAACCAACGCTATACGCAGCCTTGTTGGGATTTATATGCCCTGACATAGCAAATTTCTGTTTGGATTAAAGTGACATATGTTCCTGACGTATCTGAAATATTTATGCTTTATACAATTGATGAATTCAATGTATTATGCTTCAATTCATTATGGAATTGATAGTGTCCATTTAATTAGAAGAAATATTTATATATGTATGTGATCGCGATCAATACATGAATATAAATAGTAATTATAAATTGTTCATAGTCGGTAATTATGGATGGACTCATAATTAATTAAGACTTGAACTGGATCCGCGTTAGGTTGAGATATATTGCGAGAGCCGTCGTATACAATTGCTCCCTATCACCGTCATGGCATTTGATTCTTAAACACGAGAGAAGTATAGTCTCTTTTATTAATTAGCAATTACTTTGATTTGTTCGGCGGAATCTTTGGAATCTTTATACCGGTACTTTGGGTAATTATGTAATTAATAGTTAGAGGGTTATATTTTTAATATTTACATTATTGCTACTTGTATTTATTTTGTATTGATTATGATTGATCACAAAGTAAATTCGAATGCCTTCGTATGTTTTTATATGCCAAAATAGCGTATACCGACTCCTGGAATACACCCAAATTTATAGTCAAATTGATTCACCTCAATCTCGTCATTCATAAAAAAAAAAATACCATCCTGCACATCACTTCAAGAGACCATCCAAACATCAATTGACGTGTTTCAAAGCACACAAAAACAAAAAAACAAAAAACAAAAAACAAAAAAATGCTTGCTGGGGATGACACAATGCTTGTGATGACATTTGGAACAAGGCATTAGCTAAGAAACATGTGGGTCTCACAGTCACTATGTCATATTATCATTATGACCCGGTCATATTTTACTTTTCATATGATTTAGGGGTGCAATTTTCAAATTTTATGAGTATAAATATAAAAAAGTATAAATTTAAATGTATAAAATGCAATAAAGAATATAAAAAAAAAAATTCGCAGCCACTAAGCCCACTATCGATCCGTGCATGTATATGGCTTAGTTTTTCATTTTCGAAAACAAATTTATTATCGTAGTAAACGTAGTGTAGCTAGCAGTTTCCTCTCGAGAGAATATAATATGCAAGTATATTAAAATGCGCCCCTATATAAGAAGACTCAGAAGATTACTGGTGGGTTGGCTTTTGAAGGGTAACTAGAATGGTCTAAATTGGCTGACGGGTGTACATGGATTGGATTGCACCGATTTTGAAATATTTTATAGTAATTTTAAAAAATAAAATCAAACTAAATTGTGAAATTAATAATAGAATTGAAAACGGTGATTTTAGACTTTTTATAACTCAATCCAATATATAAATAAACTTATATATATATATTATATATAATATAATAATCTATTATAATATACTATTACTATTTGATTATATTTATAGGGAGATGTATTCACGCTCTACTTTTTTATTTTAATAAATAAAATAACTAAATTGCCTTTCTCTTCTTATTTTTTGCTCTCCCTTCTCTCATCTTTTATCTTTTAACTCTAATGAAGAGTTCACTAAAATTGGACTCCTCTCAAAAAAAAATATCATATATATATACACTGCACTTGTCGTAAGGACCAAAAAAAAAAAAAAAAAAAAAAAAAAAAACTGAACATATATTTGTTTCTTCAACAATCATCTTCTTTTTTTAGTTCACTTCTTTGATTAAATTTCTCAGAAACAAAAGTTGCACATATACAGCAAACAACCTAGTCAATCCATGAAAAAGTATTAATTATAATAAATTAAACTGAACATAAATATTGGTATCATTGCATCATAACTTTAAAATAAATATTGGTTATTGCACGCAGTGAAAAATTTTAATCAACACTTAACAGTTCAAGGTTCAATCATTGTACCCAACAATAATATCAATTACAGTCGCTAGAATTCATTATAAGGTATCATAATCTACTACCCAATTCATATAATTTGTGAGTTGGTAGATTTACAAGGTCATGGATTGCAATTCTCAATTCATTACAAATTCAAATAATATTATTTCATGATTTGTTTTGACTTCTAAAAAGATGAGTTTTAAAATTTTTTTTTTTTTTTTAATGGTATGAGTAGTTATTGAATTATCAAATTTAACTATAGCAAGTCTACATAGATGTGATTGTTTACTTTTTATGAGTTCAATGCAAAAAATATTAAATTGGTAATGCTATAACAAAAAGTACTTTGAATTTTCAAATCAAAAAATTATTTTGGGATAGTTAAAAATAAAAAGGGAACATTTACTTGGGACAGAGGAATATGTTTATGAGAAAAAAGTCTCTCTTTGGTAAGATCGAGAAGGAGCAAGCTTTGCACTAGAGCCAGCAGCATAGATAGAGGCGTACCAAGTAGGGATGTCAATTTTTACCGCCCCGTCGGGGTCCCGCCCCGTCCCGCCCCGTTAATAACGGATATGGGAACACTTGTTATACCGTTGGGGCGGACATGGATACAAATTTTATACCCGTCGAGGGTTACGGGGCGGGTAAGGGTTCAATATACATATCCTAGGGGCCCCGCCCCGCCCCGCATATAACTATATTTAATATATATATATATATATATATATATATATATATATATATATATATATATATTAATAAGTTATTTTAGCGGCTTACCTAATTACCCATCTCTTATAATCCTAATTTGGGATGTAAACTTGGTATTAAATTTGCTTTTGTTTTGGTTATGGTGGAAGTTGGAGCTTAGAACTTCTTGTGATTTGGTTGTATTAAACTTTTATTTTTGTTTATTATGTTGTATTAAACTTTTATTTTTGTTTATTATGTTGTATTAAACTTTTATTTTTGTTTATTATGTTCTCTGAATTATTTTATGTGCATGTTATTTATTTATTTTTTTATTAGGATACATAATTTTATTTATGTTGTGTCATTCCTAGGCTTTGCACATTTAAATAGCAGGAGTTTAAGTTTCAAAAAGTGGGAGAAAAAAAATTGGTAGTGGGGCGGGCACAGGGGCACAGTATTTCCTAACGGGGCGGGGTTGGATATGAAAATCCAACCCGTCGCGGGTCTCGGGGTGGGCATGGACTTGACAAAAATTAAAAGGGGTGGGGCGGGATTTAGAGAAACCCGCTCCAAACCCGCCCCGTTGCCATCCCTAGTTCCAAGCAGCATCTCGCTTGGCATCCCTTCCATATCTAGACCAAAATCCACCACAAGAGCATAGACAGGCCGAGCATTTGTCTTCAGCAACACTAGAAAGAGTAGTGTGCGTTCTACTAGTCAAACCAGACTACTAACTGGGCCGAGGGACGAGTGCTTTCATCGGATCTATGGTATCTGGCTTATCAAAGAATCGTTCCGTATGATCGGATTGAGGGTTGAAAACGCATCTTGGAGTTTTTATGAGAAATACTCAATAAGAGCACTATAATGTGCATTATAGAGCACAATCATAGCCAATGAAGAGAATTCAGCTAGACCGACCTCACAAGGAATAAGATCTGAGGATTAAGAGAAATTGGAATCCTTGTATGTAACACGCTCTATTGATTCTTCATTTTTCTATTGGTATGTGTGGCGCGAAGGAAAGTGATTCTCGATCTGGACCAAATCAATTGATTTCCAACTCGTTTCTGATCTTTCTGCAATAATTCA